TGGGACGAATTAGGAAGCGTGCTTGTGAAGGGCGCTCTGAAAAGCGGCAGCGCAGCCAAACGATTATAACAGATGTGCAAATGAGAGTACCGGTACGCTAAAAGCACGTTCTGGGCGCATGGAGAGGTGGCGGTACTCTCAAGAGCTATATTTAGAAGTGGCGGTACTGAGTACCGGCCCACTTAAAGCACTGGTTGGTTGGATTTTAGACTTTTTAACTGACAGATCTCAGTGTGTGAGAGTAAACGGTTGTTTTTCTAAACAGCTGAACTCTTCTACTGGCTCACCACAAGGTTGTTGTCTCTCTCCTCTACTGTATATTTTGTACACTAATGACTGTCGCAGTACACAGGCCAACAGGCATTTCATTAAATACGCAGATGACACAGTCATTGTAAGCCTCCTTCATGGTGAAGAGGATTCCCATGGGCCTGTTGTGGATGAGTTTGTTTCATGGTGTGATCAGTCCTTCTTAATGATTAACACCTTGAAAACCAAGGACACGGTTATTGACTTCAGGAAGTCATCCCTCCATCCTGCGCTAACAGTGGTAAATGGTGCAGCCATTGAACTGGTGGAGGTTATAAGTATTTGGGGGTTGTTCTTGATAAGTCTCTGTCCTTTGAGTCACATCTTGCTGCTACAGTGAAAAAGGTTAAACAAGGACTGTACTTTTTAAGGAGGTTGAGAGGTTTTAATGTTTCATCTGAAATGTTGACTCTTTTTTATAAAAGTTTTATTGAATCTGTTTTAACTTTCTGTATCATTGCTTGGTACGGTAATATGTCCCTGAATAATAAGACCAGACTTGCCAGCCACTTTAACCAGGTTGTTAAGATTTCAGGGAGGTCTCAGGTCCAGCTTGTGGACTTTTATAACAGGCAGGTGCTGAGGAAGGCAACCTCTGTCCTGTTGTGTTCAGATCATCCTCTCTTTAATGATTTTCAACTGCTTCCATCAGGTCGTCGTTATAAAGTGCTTGCAGTGAAGACAAAGAGACATAGATTGTCTTTTGTACCTAGTGCTATTATCATAGTTAATAACACTAAACCATAAGTGTTGTTGCCATTGCACATTGCACTTTTTTGATGAAAAATCTAGGTTGTTTTATCAGGCTTATATTATTTTGGTGAGTGTATGTGATGTGTTGGTTGTCTGTTTGTTTGTTTGTATGGATATACTACAAATCAATTTCCCGTTAGGGACAATAAAGTTACCATTGACCATTGTTTCCCCTGGCATGGGGAGGGCACGCGTTCACCTCAAGTTCCCTGGCGCAGCCACACAGTTTTCAAGCCTTTTATCTCTAAAGGTTTTCTATCACTGACTGAGAAGAAGGGGGACAAAATTCCCATCACAATTTTATGAGATGCTGGTGCAAAGTACTCTGTGGTGTGTCATGGTATAGTGCCTTTTTCTGACCAGTCATACTGTGGCTCAGATTTGTTGGTGTGGGGAATAAAAATGAGTATGTTGGGCATGCCACTTCATACAGTTACTCTACTTTCCCCCTAGTCTCAGGCACAGCAGGTGGGGGTGATAGTTCAGCAGCCAGTTGCTGGTGTTGATGTTTTTCTTGGCTGGGGAAAAGATGTTCCCTACGTAAACCTACCACACCTGAAACCACTGAAAACCCTACTGTAAATATCTTCGGTCATGCCCTCTCTGGGCTCAGTGCCTCTGCAATTTTTGCGGCATGTGTGGTTACTCGTGCCCAGGCCGATGTGGTGGACATTTCAGATACGTTCTTGAACAAGCCTAAAATTCCTGTCAAACTTCCTCCTGGAATAAGAAATTAATCTAGGCCATTTAATGAGATACCAAATGACTTTTTCTTGGTAATAGACAGAGAACAGTTCATTAAATTCATGGGGTGACCGTGGCTCAAGGGGTTGGGAAGCGCATCTGTAGGTGCGATAAGGTCGTCGGTTCAATCCCTGGGCTCTCTGTCCTGGCCGTTGTGTCCCTGGGCAAGACACTTTACCCTACTTGCCTACTGGTGTTGGCCAGAGGGGCCGATGGCGCGATATGGCAGTCAGTCCTGCACCACAGGGCAGCTGTGGCTACAACTGTAGCTGCCTCCACCAGTGTGTGAATGTGAGAGTGAATAAATAGTGGCATTGTAAAGCGCTTTGGGTGCCTTGAGAAGCGCTATATAAATCCAATCCATTACTATTAAAGCTTAGCAGTCTTATGTTACTTTGTCTGCCTGCCTGCCAGGCAACAAGAAACCTGTGTCGTACCTATTTGACAATGGTGTATTGCTACATAAGTGGTCCCCAGTGTCTAGAATGGGGTGTGACCACTCAGATTGTGGTACCAAAAGAGTACCGTCTACAAGTGTCCTTGCCCATGATAACCCCCTATCTGGCTATTTAGGAATCAGGAAAACTTATGACAGAGTTTCCCGCTTTTTTTTTTTTTTTTTTTTTTGACCAGGGTTGAAATCTGAGGTTGCCAGGTTCTGTCGATCATTTTATCCACGACAAATGGTTGGTAAATGGCTCAAGCATTTCTTGAGAGGGAGAAATGCTTGATTTTATATCAGGGAGTGTTATGACCAGGGCTGCACATAAGTGGTCCGCAGGTGTGCATTCGCTGTCAAAATAAAAGACGTGCACCAGATAAGAAGTTGGAACGCGCGTTTGCGTACATAAGATGTTCTGGAGGAGGACAGATATTTATTCAGAACTCTTAAAGATCACATGAATTTTCACATGAAAATATGTGACACTGTTTTTTCTGATCACTGTCCTGTTGTGTTTGATATACTTTTATCTCTACGCCATTTTACACCTCTTATTCCAACACGCCGTTGTTGTGTTTTTAACCCATCTGCAACAGAACAATTTTCTATTGCTTTTAAAAAAGTTTTAAGAGCTCCCCTTGGCTGTGGTACTGAGGAAATGACATCTAATTTTTATGATAAGTGCAAAACTGTCCTTGATGAGGTTGCTCCTTTTAAAACTATGAGCTCGAAACCACAATCAGACCCATGGATAAATAAGGCCACTCCTTCAGCCAGACAAGAGCGCAGGAAGGCTGAGCGTAAGTGGAAAAAAGATGGGCTGCTGGTGTCTTTTCTCATGTTGAGAGACAGTCAGGACATTGTAAAAGCAGAAAAGCCAAAGTTTTTTTCTAATGTATCTAAGGTGAGATCTTTTTTATCTTTTAAAAACTTTGAATGGGCGATTCATGCTTTTATTACATCCCAGCTGGACTATTGTAACTCCTTTTATGCTGGAGTTAGCCAGACCTGCCTGGCAAGACTGCAGTTGGTCCAGAATGCTGCAGCTCGTCTTCTGACACGCACTAAAAGATGTGAACATATTTCCCCGGTGCTTGCCTCTCTTCATTGGCTCCCTGTCAACTTCAGAATTCATTTTAAAATGTTACTCTTGACTTACAAAGCCCTGAATGGACAGGCTCCCAGGTACTTGTCTGACCTCTTGCAGCCTTATGCCCCCTTTAGATCTCTTAGATCAAGTGATCTTTTGCTTTTAGCCATACCAAGGTCGAGGCTGGTTCATAGAGGCGATCGAGCATTTACAGTTTTAACGTCTAAGCTGTGGAATAATTTAACCCATACACATCAGACAGGCTCCTACTGTCAATCTTTTTAAATCTTATCTTAAAACACATTTGCATTTACTGGCTTTTAATACAGTATGGGAGTTATTTGTTAATTCATATTGGATGTTTGCTATCAATATTATAATTTATTTTACTAGGTATTTTGTATTCTTGTACAGCACTTCGTTCCTATTGTAATTAAATGTGCTATACAAATAAGTAACCTATAAACTATAAAATGCTGCAGCAAGAGTACTGCCAAGGACTAGAAAGAGAGAGCATATTTCTCCTGTACGGGCTTCTCTTCATTGGCTCACTGTTAAATCCAATACCAAATCTAAAATCCCTCTCCTCACATACAAGCTTTTCAATATTCAGGTCCCCTCTTATCTTAAAGACCTCATAACATCATATCACCCTATTAGAGCACATTGCTCTCAGACGGCTGGCTTACTTGTGGTTCCTAGAGTATTTAAAAGTAGAATGGCAGAGCCTTCGGCTTTCAGTCCCCTCATCTGTAGAGGGACTGCAAGGTTTTGAATTTTTTGCTTGGATTAATAATAATAATAAAAACAGTTTGGATTCGGGAAACAGACACACTCTCTACTTTTAGGTTTCAGCTTAAAACTTTCTTTTTTGATAAAGCATATAGTTAGGACTGAGTTGGGTGACCCTGATTCCTCTCTTAGTCATGTTGTAACAGTAAGCCTATTACAGGCTGCTGGGGCCTCCTATTGTGGACTGAGTGTTTACTATGGCCTGTGGTCCATTTTTAATTG